TGTTCTCATTTCCTCAAACTATTAAAAATCTAAAAGCACTAATTGAGTTTTAATGGTATAAAATCCTGGCACTCATGAGGAACTGCTTCTTTTTCTTTCCTTTTTCTTTTTTCTAATTAACTTGTGATTTTCTGGGCATTTTATTGGCCCAGCATCCCTCCTGGTTTGGATATGCATGAAACCTCTACCCATTTAGGGCTCAATTGTGATTCACCAATTAATAATTAGAAAGCTCCCTTTCTAATGGCGTTCTCATCTGGGACACCATTTGTTGGCTGATTGACTCTGAACTACTTTTAAATCAGACATTCGTGTGCATCTGTGTGATCACCCTTCCCATCCTGGTTCTTCACTAGTGGCACCTGGCTGAGTTGCCCGGCTCGATCCTGTTGGTGTCTTTCTGTGGGAGGGGAATGTGAACATGTCACCTGCCTTTGACTAAAGCCGTTTTCTCCTCTCATCTCTGGCCACAGCTCTTCCACTCCTACCCTCCTGCAGTGTCGAGCATCGCCCCCATGATCCCACCCATGGGCCCTTTTGGTTCACTACAAGGAGCATTTCAGCCCAAGGTAAGGAGGGCACAGGGGAGACCCAGGGGTGTGTCTTGCTGGGCACGACGGGGTCTGCCCCTTCTTCCTGCACAGTGACTGACTTCTCAGATCCTAAGTGACCTGGGGATTAGAGTGAGAGGATTTTCTTCTAGTCCATTTAGTTTTAAGCCTCAGCAAAATTTGAGGCTTCAGTTGGTACTCCCATGTGATCTCAGCTGAGCTTCTCTGTCCCCTGTGGAAGATGCCACCACAAGCATGGGCTTCTGTCCAGGGAGCCATGACCTCTGAGCCCAGCTGACTTTTGAGGCAGAGATGGGAGGCTGGGCCTGTCAGTTTTCCAAGAAAGAGGCTGGACTGAAGTCCCAGGGGTGCAGCAGTCTGTGTTGTTGTATTGGAGAGATTCCCCTCCTGGCCCGCCCTGTCCTCCACAGCCCCAGCTGGGCAGCTGGGTCTGCTGGAGCGGAGGCCGAATCTCTGGCCTCCTGGTTCTGTGCTTCTCCTACCGCTGGCTCTCAGCATTCAAACTGCCAAGGTCACAAACATTTTTGAGAGGGACTTTCAAGACATGCATGTTTAAAATCAACTGCAGCCCATTTTACTCTCTTACCAAAGTGACGCATCTTCTAGTTGCAAAACATTCTTACATTTTCTGTGGTATATGCTTTTCTTTTTCTCTCCATCCCATTTCTGAGGTGAGCACCAGGGTGGGGCCAGCCTCCCAGGATGGGCAGCTGCTGTTTTGCCCAAGACTATTACACCTGGAGAGGAGGACAGAGGCCCTGGTGTAGGGTGGCTGCCCTCCAGGGCTCATCCCCCTGCAATGAGTGCCCCCTGACATGCGAGGTCACACGTGCAGAGGGCTCTACAGCGGCTCAGCCAAGTGCCTCCTATCTGGAGATCGAAGAAGGCGGTCTTCAACTCCTTCCCTGAGCCTGCTCTTTACTGCTCCCTCAGACCCTGGTCCGTCCCTTCTAGGTTGGGACAAATCTCTAGTGCATCCCCAAACAGACTGGTAGGTCATTTAATAAATTAGACTATTTCCCTCACTCACAATTATCCAGTCACACAGAAAACTGCATCTGGGCAGGAGAGAGCCTCTGCTGGTGTGGAAATAGGCCTTTCCAGGCCACCTTCCTAATTGAATATGTAGATTGCAGTTCATTAGTGGAGTTCTTCATATGTATGCAAATCAGGCCGTTAACAACTCCAGCTTAATTGTTGGTTGTGCCGCAGCTGATTGCTTTCCTTTCATTCCTTCCCCCTTCACCAGGGAGGCAAGCCTGGTGCCTGAACTTGAGCTCCTTTTCCACACAAGTTAACTTCTGGTGTGT